AGGGACCGGACCACGTGACCCTTCAAAACAAGGTTGAATAACATAATTTGTCACGTGGTACAAGTAGCCTAACCAGTCTCCTTCTATTAACCGTGCTTACATGGGTACGACATGTCGAAAATATTTCCAAAAAGGTTGCATCAGCTATTGGAGCTCTTAAACGGATACGCCAATTTATAGATACAAACACTGCTCTGAAAACTTTGATTATTGTAGCTCAGTTTGAGATGGTTTGAATATTACGTTAAATGACAAATTGCAAAAATTGCAAAATAGGATCAAACCTACGTTAGACCAAGCGGATGCTTCATCGGCGGTTAGTTGCATTGAACTTGATTTATCTTTTCCCACAATTTCGAACGAGGTTGTATCGTCAACAAATATTACGTTTCCATCAGCGCTGGATATTTCTAAGCCCATTGATCATTATTAAAAATAACCATGGCCCTAATTTAGTGCCCTGCGGAACGCCGGCCACTACATCTTTCCATTCCGAGTATATATCATTTGCCATTTTTACCCTTTGTTGTCTATCCATCAGGAAATCGCATATCCAATTGATGATACTGTAACTTTTAATTTCGTGATGAGCAGAGAATGATCGATCAGATCGAAAGCTTTCCTATAGTCCATAATCAGCACTCGCACATCTGAGCTCGTACCGTCGGTGACTTTAACCAATGGTGAATAAGGTTGATTAAAGCGTGGGTTGTTGAAGATTGTGGGATGCAACCGTACTGGTCTGGGCAAACGTATTGCATGATTTGTCAACAATAGTCAATACGTACTGCGAGCGACTCGTCAACAATACAATTTCGCTTGATTTTCAAGGGCCATAAATCGCTAGAATATACTGGTGTTTTGTGATACATTTGACATCCGCAATTACAATTTGCTACGCTGAACCGAACGGTGACATTTTTGTTCTTATTGCTCCTACCGATCTAATAGTAGACTGGATGTAGCTTCTCTAAGTGTAAAAAGTCAAGCCAAATTATATATGCGAAAATCACTTCCGGGGACCACGGAGTGATACAAATTACTATAAAACGTTTTGGCGAACAACGTGGACCACGGTGAAATTTCCCGAATTTAAGATACTTTGCGAAGTTTTACCAAGATGATCGCTCCACCGTGGCTAAAAGATGTTATATTAAAGGACAATGGCAATACATTTTTTTATTGTAAAACTGGACCCCCTGATTACGAATATGCTATAGTTTTCATCAAAACTGTTTTGTTCTCGAGTTATTTCACCGTAAATATTCAGTACGTCCGCCATCTTAGATCGATTTTCAAAAAATTATCTTTTGGGTCGCATGACCTGTGTGGCGTCAAGGGCAGGGTAGAATCAAAACAACAAATATATTTTATTCTTCTTCGAGTCTCCAGTTATCGGGCGGATCACGCGACCTAGTGGCCAAATTCCGCGGGGGGGGGGGGAAATCGGGATCTACGACAAGTACGAGATCACCCTTTTGCAGGTTCCGGGCTTGTGTAGTCCACTTTCGTCTTTGCAATAAATTGGGGACATACTCCTTCAACCATCGTTTCCAAACGTGATTGGTCACAACTTGAGCTTGTCGCCATCGACGTTGACTAGATATTTCCTTGCTGACGAAAACATCGGGCGGTAAATTCGGGCTAGGGCGACCGAGGAGGAAATGGTTTGGAGTCAAGGCTCTTCATCGGAAAGATGAGTGCTGACCTGGGTGACAGGACGGCTGTTTAACAAGGCTTCGACTTCGGCTTTAACGGTGACTAGGACCTCGTCCGTCAGAATCTGTTTCCCAATGACAGCTCGGATCGCTCGTTTACAGGACTGGACTAGGCGTTCCCAAACATCACCAAAATGAGGCGCAGCTTGTGGGTTAAAATGCCATTCAATCTCTTGCTGTACCATCTGGTCGTGAATTTTACCTTTATTCCAGTTCTGGAGACATTCACGCAGCTCTCGGTTGGCGCCGACAAAGTTGGTACCGTTGTCAGATAGGATTTGTTGAGGCTTTCGTCTTCTTGAGATCATCCTGCAAAGCGCCATAATGTAGGAATCAGTGTCGAGCATGTAAGCGCGATCTCGATATGGACGGCTCGAGTGACCAAACAGGTGAACAGACATCCATATCGTTTCTCAGTCTTGCAAAGACGTTTAACGGTTAATGGCCCGAAGTAGTCCACTGCAACGTGAGAAAATGGTGGTAGATGTGCCTTCAATCTGACGCTTGGAAGGTCGGCCATCTTCGGAGCATGTGGTCGGGCTCGTCATCTACGACAGTAAGGACAGTGGTGGGCGATCTTTCGTATTTCGGCGCGACAATTCAAGATCCAAAACTCCTGGCGAATGGCGTTACGAACATGCTCATTACCTTCGTGGTAAAAACTTTCGCGGAAGTGGGTTATGATAAGCCCGGTGACATCATGATTCTGCGGGAGGATAATTGGATGTCGCGTAGAGTATGGAACTGGAGCTTTGGAAAGTCGGCCACCAGCCCGAAGTAAGCCATTCTCATCGAGGAAAGGCGTCAAGGTCAAGATTCGACATTGTCAAGGAATGGGTGTTTTGGTCTGTAACCCACGAAGTTCGAGAGAAAAGTGTTCGATTTAGGCTCTCTTTATCCACATATCTCTGGCTTGGTTGTGTTCTGCGACGGTGATCAATCCTAACTGCCGCTCTCGCTGCGGTTTTCGACAGTTCCTGATAAATCGGATGGTCCAGCTTGTGGTACGTATCAGCTTGTTCCAGGAGAAGAAATGAGCAGGGTCAAGGGAAACGTGCGGAGTTTGGTGGGCCCATAGATATCTTATATACACTAGATAGCGCATCACTTCTAGTAAAATTGAAGCCAAGAATATTCCAGCGGTTACCCCCATTTGAATAGATGGCGGCCATGTTGGTCGTTCCCACTTGCTAATAAACGCTTAAAAACAACAATAACTTTCATTATTTGAATAGTTTAAAAACGTATTTGGAATAGGGTTAACTTAATGTTTAAGTTCCGTGTTTAAGAAATAGAAAACATACGAATCTTCTCATTTCATGGGAACGATCTGAGACTGCAATCACAGCTTCAATTGTTGAATTGCAGAATAATTAGATACACTATCTAGTGTATATAAGATATCTATAGGTGGGCCGCTCCAGTCCATCGTAAAGGTCGATCTGAATATCGAAGGAAAATGGACGTCCCCGGGTGATGAGGTGAAGGTCTTTACAACTAAAGATCACATTATTTAAATGGACTGAAAAAAGTACGAGAAAGCTTGTGGTTATGAAAGACGATAGCAAACAAAGTGTGAGTAAAAAGCTGGAAAGACGAGTTACATTAAGCGAAGACAAAGGCGCCGAAGCAAAAGATCAGAACGACATGCATCATTACGAATTGGATAATCCGAATAAAAACGAAATCATCGATAACTTCCTGATAGTTGATGAAAGCCAAAGAAACGAATTCAGTACGGATCAACACCAAAACGAATTAAGACGGAGTAGTTCTGAAATATCAACTCCGTGTGATGCAGATATAAAACCATGCCATTGTACTGAATTTGCCGAACAATTCAAGCGCATCGAGAGAGACATTTAAAGTCTAAAAAACGGACTAGAAATTGATGAGGGGGAAGAAATTGTGTTGGCCTGTAATATTGGCACATGTCTAAAGGAAAAGGTTCAACTAAGAAATAATCTGGAAAGTGCTGACGCAAAAATAGAAGATTTAGAGGCGAAAATTGAGTTGCTTGTATGTGAGAAGAAAAGCCTGACGACGGCAATTAGAATAATCCAAGAAGACAATAGCCAACAAAATAACAATAATTGTATTGAAAAACAAGAAAGCCCGTGGGTTAAAGTTGGAGATAAACAACTTAAGAAAAAGAAAAAGAAGCGTAAACATCGTGAGGCCAAGAAATCGCTACAACTCACTGCTGCAGAATCGGAAGAAAATTTGCCACAAATATCAGAAGAAACACAAACTGTTCATTCTAAGACGTATCAAATGACCAAACGAGAGACAAACAAAAGAAAGACGACCCTGTCGGAACAAAAACCTACAAAGCACTACGTCTACAGTGTCAGTTGTGGGCGACTCCATGATTAAACACATTAATGGATATAAAATGTCAAAGGCAAACACTAAAGTCTGAGTCTCTTCTTTTGCAGGGTGTACTACGCAGGATATGGCAGGTTATATCAAGCCTATTATCCGAAAGAAACCAAATAAGCTTGTCCTACACGTCGGCACAAATAACCTGAAGAATTGCGAGAACCCCACGACTTGTGCCAAGGATATTATCCAACTGAGAAAATCAATTAACAGGTCTAAACCAGAAACCAAGATAATTATATCAGGCCTAATCACAAGAGCTGACGAAGAGATATTGGCATCGAAGTTAATGCAATGTCAGTGCATAAAGTCAATGCATAAAGTCAACGAAGTTAATGCAATGCTAAAGCAGTCATGCTTGGAAAAAACTGGGCATTTATTGAACATGACAACATCACTTCTCAACACTTAAACAAGAGTAAACTTTATTTGAACAAACAAGGAACAAGTTTATTGGCATGCAATTTTATAAACCATATATATGGCAGGTGCCATAATTAGGAATTTGCTGTGTGGGAATCGTTTGTTGATGTACAACCAAGAATAGATGAGAGAAACTCGACCGATTTGGTTGAGTTAAATGAGTCTAATAATATCTCTAATTTAACTTATACAAAAAACACAATACTATCCCATCGTGGTATGGCAATTGCATGTTTAAATATAAATAGTCTCATTGCCCACATAGATGAATTGCGAATATTTATTAGCAATGCAAACATTGACATACTATGTGTAAATGAAACCAAACTCGACCTTTCAATCAATGATCGGGAGGTATATTTAGCTGGCTAGGAAATTGTTAGAAGGGACCGAAATGTAAATGGACGCAATGGTGGGAGTGTGTGCACTTATATTAGGCCTAACATAAACTACCAAGTTAGAGATGATTTGCATTCTGCAACTCTCGAAAATTTGGTAGTGGAGATAAAAAATGGCGATCTAAGTCTGTTTTAGTCAGTACTTGGTATAGACCCCCTGACTCACCAATGAGTCAATTTATTGAATTTGCAAAAATGATTGGGTCATTTGATGCCGAAAACCTGGAGTATTTTCTTTTGGGTGATCTAAATGTTGACCTTATTTCAGCAACTGCATCACCAATAAAAAATAAATTAAAAGAGATATTAGATATTTGCGGTATTAAACAATTGATTAATGAACCAACCAGAATTACGTAATCATCTAGAACTCTGATTGACTAATGTCTTATAAATACACCTTCTCATGTTGTAGATGGTGGAGTCTTATCCCTGTCAATAAGCGATCATTCATTGATTTATGCAATTCATAAGGCTCACTATGTACAAGGGGTACCAAAAACGGTACATATTAGGTCAATGAAGCAATTTAATAGAGAACACTGTTTACGAGATCTTGAACAAAAAAATTGGCACAATGTTTATTGTTCTGCGGACCCTAATGTGATGTGGAAAATTGGGAAAGAAAACTTAATGGGCGCAATTGACAAACATGCACCATTGAGATCCAGGCGGGTTAAAAATCGGAAGTCCCCCTGGATAACAAAAGAATTAAGACAAAAGATTCGACATCGTGATAGTTTAAAAAAGAAAGCGAATTTATCTAATGATCCTCAAATTTGGCAGCAATACAAACAGACTCGAAACCAAATAAACAATGAAATTAAGGAAGTTAAGCGAAATTATTTTACAAATAATCTTGATCTTCATAAAGGTGACATGAAAAAAACATGGAAATTAATTAACGAATTAAGTTCCAAAAATATTGGCAAAACAAATAGAGTGTCAGAATTAAATTTTAATAATCAAGAAATAACGGCACCTATGGATATTGCTGAAGCTTTTAATGCCATTTTTCGAGTGTTGGTGACAACCTGGCTGCATCTATACCAACCCCTGCATCTATACCAATCCGAGCTTTTATC